AGTGATGGGGTTTTGCACAATGTGGACTGCTAGAGGTTCAAATATATCAGCTTTTTGTCTTCTAGATTGTGTTTAGAGACACCATATGTTAATGCCTCTTGCTACAATGAGTCTACCTGATAATAGAATGAAGCTAAGCTTATAAATGCTAATGTTCAGGCAAATGAGCTTTATTTTTAAGTGAAGATCCATCTATTGCATCGCATTACAATTCACTGTTGGGAAGGAAATGAGATAGAAAATTAGACGCGAATGAATCACTTGCATTCTGTTATTGCAGAGCGACCCAAAATCTGGCTCCCCCGTAACCTCCGCCAGACACTCATCAAGAAAGTAGGAGAAATGATTAACCTGGTAATCCCCTTCCAGGTGAGAAAAGTCATCCTTAAGATTGGGTTTGAAACGTGCACATCCCTAACAAAATTATGCTGCGGAACATGTGACTAATCCATTCAAACAATTTAGATTTGCATGAAAAGATCCGGCAAAGTTCTGTATTGCTGTATCCAGCAGTATTATTTGTCGCAATATGAAACCATTGGCTGTCCTCCTTTGATGCAGACTTTGACCTCCAACAGCTAGAGCTTCAGTGTTTGGCTAGAGTGTAACTTCTCCACTTGTTTGTTTACAGAACCCAGTTTGTGAAACATAGATCTACGTCCTTTCACTCTATAAATACTCTGAGCTCTATGGCTGAAATTCAATGAGAGAGGCTGCATACAGATGGTAGTCAATGACACAAGTCTGACTGGCATCTGTAACACTCCTGTAGTGCCCAAAAACATATATCTATCTATTAATCTATCTATCTATCTATCTATCTATCTATCTATCTATCTATCTCTGTCTGTCTGTCCGTCTGTCCACTCATAAAAGTACTTTTTCTTTGTTTCCTGTTAGTAATATAGTCTTGACTCGTTCTTCACCCACCTAACTTTTAGGGTAAACCACGACCTCAAGTGACCTGGACAAAGAACGACGAGCCTCTGGACCCTAAGCAGGTCAGCATACGAAACAGTGACACTGATACCATCCTCTTCATCAGGAGATCTGAGAGAAAGGATTCTGGGAAGTATGAAGTTCAAGTGCAAATTGAGAATGTGGAGGACAGGGCCAGTGTGAATATACAGATTGTTGGTGAGTTACTAGGACCTGTTTGACAGCATACACTGTAAATTGAACCTGTATTGTCGACTACATTTTACACAATTACACAAGAATAACATTCACAGTTTGGAGTACCAGAATATGTGATCTTATTTACAATACAAGTGTGTCAAAACACACATCAAAACACATTTTGTTCTTTTCTACTGTCAGACCTGCCAGGCCCACCCCAAAATTTAAAGGTGATAGATGTTTGGGGCTTCAACGTTGCCCTGGAGTGGAAACCACCCAAGGATAATGGCAACTGCGACATCACAGGCTACACCATCCAGAAGGCTGATAAGAAAACCATGGTAAACCCAAACTTACAAATTTGTGTTTTTGCTAAAATGGAGAATTGTATTTTATTTTGTTCATTTCCTGTTTCTTTAACAGAGTCATACTGTACATATGTACTTTTAGAGTACATATGTCAAGTACTGTTAGTAATCAAACTCGAATTGAGAGAAAGAGTTAGTGGGTTCGTAAGCCTCCCCGTGCCTGCCATTGTCTATCTAAAGCAGCTAAGCTTGTGATCACTGTAATTGAGTAATGTATGTACACTATTTATCAGTGGCACAGCAGTGCAGAGAGACTATGAGTTTATAGCCTCTCTTGTGACATACAGTTGGCCAGTGGCACTGAATTGTGGGCCAGGGGAACAGCATCCGGAACATCCAGTACCCAAAGCTCCAAAATGACCCTTGCCGCACACCAAACTAGAGCAGCTGTGCTCCCTTCGGTGCAAGCATGCTGTAATCTTAGCCCACGGCCTTGCCCTGATTTAAGTGCTGTCATTATAGTGCTCTCTTTACCCCTTTGTACTCTTGAGCCACTAAGGTTAGCGGCTAAATAAAAAGCACCCGGTTTGGGTTTCACCTCACATTGTTACTAGAGCTAGTCTATTCCTCTCCCTGTGTCCAGAGCAGCAGGCAGGAAGACACCGGATTATCAGGTTTCACAGGACAATCTCAATCAGAAATCGGAGATGCTCTGCTGCTAAATATAAAAGCACTTTAGGCTGCAGGCTTTGGGGCACATTCATGGGCAGGCCATTTACCTGCTTCAACATCTACTGCTCCCACGAACATACTGTAGTGATGACACTTTGGCTTAATATATGCGCTAAGCAATCCTGCAGCGTTTTCCGCATTGTCTATAACAATGGACAATGATTTTACAGTGGTATAGACAGAAATCTGAGAACCACACTACAATGTTTTAGATTAGCAAGGATAAGTAGTGACACAGTTCCCACATACTGTTTGCTGTTTTATACCCATTTTTATAGTTACACTGGAAAAACGAAGGAAACAAATAAATATTATAACGAATTTAGTGAGGCAGGTTTATGCTTAAAAATCTCATGCAATTTTGCCTTTCAGCTAAAATGATTGTTCTTCATGTTTAGACATTTTGTATGCCTATGTATTTCTGAATTAACTAACACATGGGCTATATTATATTTACAGCCAGCGCAAAGAAACATGAAACTTGTTCAATGCAATCCACACCCCACAATAAATACAATAAATAATGAGTGTGACTTAAAAAACATCCACAAAATCATACTTTTTTAAATACACTACCATTCAATGTTTGATGTTGGTAAGATTTTTTTATTTTTTATTTTAGTCACTTATGCTTAACAAAACAGTTATTTAATCAAAAATACAGTCAAACAGTCATAATGTCAAACATGATTACAATTTAAAAAATTACTCTTTACTATTTTAATACTGTATATATTAAAATGTAATTTATTTCTGTGATGGCAACAATAAATTTTCAGTAGCTAGTGCTCCAGTTTTCAGTGTCACATGATCCTTCATTTAATTTCATATTAAATGTTTTTACTTTAAATAGTGATCAATTTAATGCATCCTGCTGACCAAAAATATTAATGTCTTTCTAAAAAAAAAAGATTACTGAGCCAAAATATTTGAACTGTAGTATGTATATATAAAATATATTATTTTATGGATATTTTAATATTTTTCAGACAACAGCTATGGTTTTGTCAGTTTCAGAGGAGAACAGATACGGCTTTTAATCAAACTAAAATGTGTCTGACAGTGTGGTACACAATATATGACTAGGTGTGTGTGGTTTTTCTCTTCTTTGCAGGAATGGTACAACGTGTACGAGCAGTATCGGCGCACTAACTGTGTGGTCTCAGACCTGATCATGGGGAATGAGTACGTGTTTCGTGTGTATGCCATGAATATGGTGGGTCTGAGTCCAGAGCCTTGCCTCTCCAAAGACAGCGCCTACATCCAGAAAACAGGTGACTGTTTGCCCCCAAGTTCACACATCCTCTCGTGAGTCGCTCAGTTATTGCTGGATACAATGCTACACTCAGCTGCTCCGTAAGAGGCATCCCAAAGGTGAGCACATGTGACCTCAATTAGCAAAGGTCACACACTGTACTGTAGGTCCAAATATATGAAACACCAAAACATCAGTCATTTATGCTTGTTCAGCAATTCTAGAAAATAAAAGTCTAAATTGTAAGATAAAAAAGATCACAGTTAAAGGGATAGTTCACATAAAAATAAAAATGTCGTTCCAAACCCGTAAGACACAAACACAAATTAAGATATTTTTGATGAAATTCAAAAGCTTTCTGACCCTCCATAGAAAGCAACGGAACTACCATGTTCAGGGCCCAGAAACGTAGGGCATCATTAAAATAGTCCATGTGACATCAGTGGTTCATCCGTATTTTATGAAGCTAGGAAACACAGAACACTTTTGTTCATTGCACACAAAAAGTATTCTCGTAGCTTCATAAAATAAGGTTGAACCACTGATGTCACAAATAAAGATGCCCTTACTACGTTTTTGGGCCTTGAACATAAAATTGAATCATGTCCTTACTACCTTTCTGGGCCTTGAATGTGTCAGTTACATTGCTGTCTATGCAGAGTCAGAAAGCTCATGGATTTCATCAAAAATATCTTAATTTGTGTTCTCCAAATATATGAAACACCAAAACATCAGTCATTTATGCTTGTTCAGCAATTCTAGAAAATAAAAGTCTAAATTGTAAGATAAAAAAGATCACAGTTAAAGGGATAGTTCACATAAAAATAAAAATGTCGTTCCAAACCCGTAAGACACAAACACAAATTAAGATATTTTTGATGAAATTCAAAAGCTTTCTGACCCTCCATAGAAAGCAACGGAACTACCATGTTCAGGGCCCAGAAACGTAGGGCATCATTAAAATAGTCCATGTGACATCAGTGGTTCATCCGTATTTTATGAAGCTAGGAAACACAGAACACTTTTGTTCATTGCACACAAAAAGTATTCTCGTAGCTTCATAAAATAAGGTTGAACCACTGATTTTTTTATGGCAAAGCTTAATTTTCAGGAGCTATTACTCCAGTCTTCAGTATCACATGATCCTCCATAAATCATTCTAAGATGTTGATTTGGTGCTCAAGATACATTTCTTGTTATTATCATTATGTTGAAAACAGTTGTGCTGCTTAAAGGGATGGTTAACCCCAAAATGAACATTGTCATAATTTACTCACCTTCAGGTTGTTCCAAACCAGCAGTTTCTTTCTTCTGTTGAACACAAAAGAGATTTTAAAGAATGTTGGTAAGCAAACAGTTGCTGGTCTCCATTTACTTCTATAGCCTTTTTTTCTATACTATGAAAGCCAATGGGGACCAGCAACTGTTTGATTAGCCATAATTTTAAAAATAATTTCTTGTGTTCAACAGAAGAAATAAACTTGACAGAAGTTTTATATTTGGGTCAACCATGCCTTTAAATGTTGCATGAGGGACCATAATCAGTGGAGTCCTATATGAATGAAACTTACCTGAATGACCACTGAACGTAAGAGAACAATCTTATGTTATGATAAAATGAAAGATATATGCTGAGACATATAGATCAAAATCCATCCATGCTTCTGTCTGTATTAACGTTTTATTTTATAACTCTGAAATGAGTAGAAAAAAGTCTAGAATTACACTTTTACTTCAAACAAAACAAAGAAACATGGATAACATGTCTTGGCATAAATCGAAAATTTCATTTTGGTTAATAACTGTTGGATTTGACCTAGAAGTGTGTCTGAAGTTCCAAAATGGATCTCTATCCAGTGATCCATGATTTCTGCTGTGTCACACTTTAATACTTCCTCCTTACTTCCTGTTTCCCTCAACATTCAGCTAAACAGTAAGCTCAGGTTTGCTCTGTGTGAAATGTGTCCAAGGTAAGCATGTGTTGTCATCACACCCACACTGCCTGTACTTTCTCTAACAAAGCACTCCTCTGTCTCAAGTCCAGCATGTCTGGGTGCTTCTCAATACCGAAATCGATCGAACTCTGCCATCATGAAGGACAAATCAATTCTCTAAAAGCACTGTGAGGAGAGGGGAAGCTTTCAGAGGAGCAAGGATGCACAGGTTCACATCCTATGAAGAAGTTTGCAATTTTCAGTCTGTTACTTTTAGTTTAGTTAATACTTTAATTCCTTCTTGCATCTTTCCCTTGTGTCTTGTGAGCTTAGACTCCTGGAAAAGATGTGAGAAAAGGACACAAGGATGGAGAGTTAACAAAAAATGAAATGCACCCTTGGTCTCTGAGCCACCAGTTTTGCACATAAGTTTAAAGCACTCTACTATTCAAATAATTTGGGGTCAGTAAGATTTTTCATAATTTGAAAGACATCTTTTATACAGTAAAAACAAAACAGTTGTGAAATTTTATTATAATTTAAAATAATTGATTTCTATTTTAATAGATTTTCAAATGTAATTTATTCATGTGATGGCAAAGCTGAATTTAGCAGCACGTGATCTTTAAGAAATCATTCTTTTATGCTGATTTGGTTCTCAATAAACCTTTTTTATTATTATCAATGTTAAAAACACTTGTCCTGCTTAATATTTTTGTGGTAACATTTTTTTGATTCTTTAAAGATCTTTACTATCACTTTTGATCAGTGTAATGCATCCTTGTTGAATAATAATTCTTAAAATATTCATTTCTTACAGAGAGAAAAAAACTTACTGACCCCAAACTTTTGAACGGTAGTGTATATCTAAACTATTTCAGCAGGTGCACTAATTCATGTATGATAGGCTATAACATAGGATATTTGGGATTATCCACTTCTATCTAAACGTTTTTAAAGAATAAATAATTTCAAATGAACATAAAATGTGATATTCATAACTCAAAGTTGCATGACCAGAATTAACAAAATGGGTTTATCCGTTTCAAAGGTGTAGCTTTGAAATGCATGCAGGTTTGTTGTAGGTCACTCAGATGTATAATGAATTATTTTGAACATCACTGAAGGTAACTTTAGATAATTCTACAGTAGTAGCCTTTTTCCCCCTTTGTAAATGCAGGATGCAATCTAATAATGGTTCTTTCACTTCATCACAGCTCAAGTCACAAAAGAAGACATCAAGAAATAAGAGAGTCGTAATGGGTTTGGAGAAACTGTGACACTTGTCCTCTTTCTGTCTTCTGTCCTGAAACTGATCCCATGACATGTCCGTGATCAAATGACAGAGCAAAGAAATCTTTCAGCAGTTTTCTTCATTTGCTTGTGCTCCCCATTTCTCACTCACATCCCACGGTCTGTGCTTAGGTGTGATTTGCTTTTCTTTATTGCTTGTGTTCATTTTGTTTCATTTCATGTTGTATTTAAGTTCTATGCTGTAGGGCCTAGTGACTCAGCATTTTCCTTCCACATGTGATGTTATGCAAAACATGCTAAATAAAGCTAAGAGTTTTGTTGATGCTTATTGTCTGGTTTTCATTTAAAGTAAGTAATATATAACTCTTTTGCACCCACATTTTAGGGAGTTGGTTTATCCCAACACACAAATAATATTTCCATTCTTTGGTTGCATTTCTCTCCTAATTTTGAGAGATTTCTTAGAACTACGACACGTCAAAATGCGTCACTCATGCAAACGCAATTAACCACCTGAGAAACCACAGTCACACTGAGAGTGGCAGACAGACAGGTGTCTCCTCTAAGTTTCCATACATCACGATGACGCACTCTCTGCGATGGCACGGCTATCACATGCATTCTTTAGGCACTCACGCGGTCCAAAGTATGTCCCAGCATCAACAGGCTGCTGGTATTAATGTAACAAAGCCCATCTGGAAGCGTCAACTCAGTGGTATTATCGGTGAGAGCAGAAAGCATGGCTGGCCTGCATGGCTTTGTTCTGGAATTTTCTCCAGTGGCAGGTTTGAGAGGGTGAACTGTTTGAAATGAGGCCTAGACATGCCATCATGGCCGAGGTGTCAAAATAACCGTGCATGGCCTGCTCCAAGTTAAAATTTAGCAGCAGTGTCTTTGTCCTATTTATTTAATTGTTCTCACATAAACGTATTGTCCAAAATTTGATAAACCATATGTGTTTGAATGTGGAAATAAAACATTTAACAGTTTTTAATCCAGAATTTTAAATGCTAATCCAGTCTTAATAAATATTTTTCACTGGAGCCACTGACTGGAAAACAGTCTGAGGAAATGCAAAGGGTGCATTTGAATGACAGATCCATTCATTAATACGGTCAGCAGGCCGATATTTCTTCATTAACACAGTTCAAACTCTCGAAGAGGGATTGTTTTTATGTTATTAACCAGTAAGGCTTTCAGTGTCCGTGACATGCGGCCTCCGTCTTAAAGATGCAACCCGAGACAGACGGAACACAGTCGATGACAACGTTGACAAGAAACTAAATTGGGCTGACAAATCCCTCGAGAGTGTATTTATTGGTCTGTGTGTGACCGTGTGCCATTACATTACGACACAAGACTGGTGTATGTGAATGTCGACATTTTAACCCGTTTCCAGTTACTGAGGGTTTTTGTTTAAGATTGTATCATTTTTTTTAAAGGATTCAATTGCAATTATTTACAGTTTTGATAATTTTACGTATTGAAATAATGCAAAAAGTGACCGAGACCAGCAACCAATTGTAACTGTTGTCCTGCAGCGCCCTCTAGTGTTTAGGTAAATGCGTGCTAGTTTGGCGATGCAACTGCCTATGAATGAAATTATTACTCCTCCTCCCCCTAAAACGTATTGTCTAGCTTTCTCCAGTAAATGAAAAAAGGAAACACACACAAAAGATTTTAAACCCACAGTATATTTAAACTCTGTATCCTCAAAACAAATCACTTTGATCAGTCTTTATACATCCACATTAATGTAACACAATACAGCAGGCCAGAAATGTCAAATAATACAAAAAAAAACAAGAGTTTATTAAAAACAGACCAAACTAGCTGACCAGACACTGAAAGAGCTCCCAGAATGGATGCAAGTTTGGTCTCGTTACCTGAATCACAGGGAGAATATGGTCTGGATAAATCAATACAAAGCATTCCTGGAAAAAAATCTCAAGAGAAAAATCACTTTATCAAAAAGGGGTAAAATATCAAAAGAAAACGGTTATAAAAATAGTTAATCAGCCCCCCATGGACAAATCCAAGTATGAATGGGGAGTGAGTAACCTGTTTGAGATGATGATGATGACAGGAAACGGATCATGTCTCATTATTGCTCATGATACATGATGCTTTAAAATTTATGATATTGTTTAAAGAACCAACCTGAGCACCGTATACACCACAGAAAGAAAAGAGATCTCTTGATTCTTCTTCTTTTTTTTCTTTTTCTCATCAATAACACAAATTATTCCTTCATGCAAGACATCAGACCTCTCTTTTATCTCTCACCCCCAAAACACCTACGTTATCTCACAGCTTGGGGTGAGTCATGGGCCTCTATAATTAGACACGTTACATATTTTATGAGAGACTGAGAAAAATAGACGTTTTTTTTCCAAGCTTGTCAGACACTGAAAATACCTGCATTTGAGGTTAAAAATACATCAAGCGTGTTGCATTTTATAACATGTGAAAATTAGTACAAAGAGAAAGTGCAGTGTGAAACTACTTTTATAACATGAATCTTGACAAAACAGGATTAAAAAAAAAACCATGTCAATTAAATCCTTAAAATTTGGCTGTAACATGAACAAGTAGAGATGAATCTCAACGGGACTGCATTTTTAGCCACTAAAGAATCGGGAGAAGACCTGATCAAATCTCAGCTCTAGATCTGCATCTCTTTCCCTGTAGACATTGATATGTATAAATTAATTACTGAGAAATGATTGATCAAAAAAGGAATCTGGAAAAAAATAGGACAAAATAAATGAAAGAAAATGAAAACGACAGCACCAATTAATAAAAAATTTCACTTGAACTTAATTTAGACAGGTCTCATATAATGAATAGTGAACAAGGTCGGTGTTCTTTAACATTCGTTTATGCATTCATTGCTGTTTTGCTAGCATTATGCTCAGTTGCTACCTCATGATATGCTAATATAACCATTTAAGTGAACTGATTCTGAAACATGATGCAGATCTTTGTAATGATCAGCGTGAACTGGGTGTAACATATGGACCCACAGCTGACTGAAAGGCAAGTGCCACATTAACATTCAGAAAGCGTTTTGAAACAACAGAAGATAAAACAGAAGCCATAAAACAAAATTCCCCCTACACTTTTAAATTTAGGGTTTCTGCTGTGAGGATTTAAATTAAAATCTTAAATTCTACAAACAAAAAATGGAACACAAGCCTGAATAAGAGCTAGTGACTGCTTCATTGTGTTTCTGTGTGCTTTAAGGGGCATATGCTACAAAAATGTTTTATTTTCATCAAATTTCTATTTATCTAACACTCAAACAGTGCCACAAGCATCTCCTCTGAACTGCTGTTTGGTTGAACAATTCATAAACACTCCATTCACATATTCAATCAAATGCAGACTGTTTAAATAGAGTAATCGGGAGCATATGTAACATGTTTTGTGGCTCTAAAAGACTAAACAAACCCAAATAGTTTAATATTCTTGTTGATACAGGTTGATATTGAACTCAATAGAGCTGATGAGATTTTTACAGCATTTTTCTCTGTGCACACATTCATGAAAGAAAAAATGGTGTCAGTTTGTACTGTAAACATGATGTGAAGAGTCAATCAGTTAGCGATATCGGATGGACATTTTTTGTATAAGAGTATATTTACAGCTGACATTTTGTGTTTGAAACAGCAGGACTGATGGGATGCTTGTGTCAGCACTCTGCCATTTATCTCTCTGGAGACTCAAAATGAGATTTTAACATTTCTGGTGAACTTTTCCTTTTTCTGTGGGCAAACAGTAAAAAAAACAAAAACAAACAAACATCATAAACCTTTCATTCAATGATACACGATGAATCTTACAGTCATTTTGCATTTTAACATGGTGGTAGTGTTCTCTCATTTTGTGCTTGGACCATAAAACACAGCCTACGATGGGATGTAGTGGGGGCTTTTTTGACATTTTCATTCAGATGACCTCAGGAGTTGAACATTGTAATGGTCCCCTTGCATATCTAACTAATCAACATCCCAAATGACAGTACATTCTTAGTAATGCACCAATAGTGCATGTGTGTGTGATGTCTACATGACAACATCCAGAGCCAATGTAGTAGTGTTCATGCTATGAGAAAGAAGTGTGTGAAAAGACTGTTAAAAAATTGTTGAGGAGGTGAGGATTTAGAAAATTTTCACAAAAAGGAGTGCCAAACATGTGGCTAATCCCTGGCTGGAGAAAGGGGGTGAGCGAGTGTGAACGAGGAAGACAGATGGCAGAAGAATTAAAGACAATGACAGAGAAAGTGAGAGAGAGGGAAGGAGAGATGGGAGGGGTGGAGGGCTCAGGCGAGACGCCCTACTGGGGGTAGTTGTTCTGTTGCCGGCGTTTGGCAGACCTCAACTTCTCAAAGCGCGACTCCATCTCTTCGAGAACCTTAGGGGTGTACCGTACCACCAGCTTCACTGTACCCTGAGCAGCCTTCAACAGCTCCACAGCTTTCTCATGGTGCTCTCCTTCTACACTCTGAAAGACAGAAAAAGTTTACATGCACTTTTAAGAGTTCAATTACAGCTGAAAAAAACAATACTTCTTTTTTTACCAACTGAAATCACAAGTCCGGTTTTTGCGATCGGTCCTAGATAATGTGACAGCTTGACTTCATTCAGCATGTATATGCATCAATTAGATTTCAATTTTATAAGTCTGTAAACATTCTTCTCACATTACAAATTATTCTATGAATCTATTATTAAATAGACTTAAATTATCCATTTAAATAAAAATTATCATAAAATGTATTATGAAATATTATCAATTATCTGTGCCTGTTAAAGGGATAGTTCACCCAAGAATGAAAATTCTGTCATTAATTACTCACCCTCATGTCGTCCCAAACCTGTAAGACCTTTGTTCATCTTCAGAACACAAATTAAGATATTTTTGATGAAATCGAGAGCTTTCTGACCCTGCACAGACAATTCTGTGACACATTCAAGGCCCAGAAAGGTAGCAAGGACTAGGGTTGGGTAAAAAAATATTGATTTCTACAAAACGATATCGATTCTTAAATCACAAGAATCAATGTGTCTAGCCTGTTTTCAGTTAATGGACCGAACACCGTCGCACCTCCCATCCAATAAATTGCAATAACCTTTGTGCTTTTTTAATTTTGATATGAAACTAAGTCTCAGATTTCAAATTCTTTACATTTTATTAAAGTATTCAAACAATAAATGCCGTTTTGGCGTTGTTTAATGTGGAGTGACAGATCGTTGTAGTGCCTCAGTTTAATAGAAGTGGCAGCACAAAGCGCACGTGAACTGATCATCCGCTTTAATACCAGCTTCAACACCAAATAAACAGAAAAAAGCATTCAAAGGTATGTTAAAAGAAAGAGTACAACTTACCGAAATCCACATCTTCAACCGTGAAAAAATGGCAATATAACAGCTTGTAAACAGTATGTCACGTAACGTCAAGTTTACCTCAGAAAAAACATATTTGGTGACCATAAACTTGTTAGTAAGCTCGAAAAAATGAACTCTAGAAAGGAGAATTTTGCTAAATATATGCACCATATAACATTTTCATCAATTTTTACTGTGCTTCAATGTTTAATATATGTTTGAATAAATCCATTTTTATGACAGCCACCATTTAAAAGTTTATTAAAAAAAAACGAATTGGAGTAGAAATATAATTATGCAACTATATTTATATATATTTTAACTGAGTGTAATTTAAGCGTTTGTATACATACTAGTTAATTTTAACCTTCAGTATAGTTATGTAGTTCAATTCGATATTGAATCGAACCGGAAATCGAATCGCAAGCTTGTGAATCACAATCGAATGGAATCGTCAAATCTGTGTCAAAACCCAACCCTAATAAGGACATAATTAAAATAGTCCATGTGACATCAGTGGTTTAACCGTAATTTTATGAAGCTACGAGAATACTTTTTTTTTGCACAAAGAAAACAAAAATAACGACTTTATTCAACAATTTCTTCTCTTCCCTGTCAGTCTTCAACGTGTTCATGAGAGTACCACGACACATTCATGTGCATTCCTCTACGTATAAACAATGTGCGGCACATCCAGGTTCTATGTCAGAATGCCGGCTCCTGCACCAGCAGCATCACAAGTATGCGTCGTGGTACTATGCAGGGTCAGAAAGCTCTCAGATTTCATCAAAATATCTTAATTTGTGTTCCGAAGATGAACGAAGGTCTTACAGGTTTGGAACCACATGAGGGTGAGTAATTAATGACAGAACCTTTCTTTTTGGGTGAACTATCCCTTTAATGTGAAGTATGTTGGTCTACAAAGCTATAGCTATGTACATTAGGGTTGTGACGGTGAGGAAATTTTCCCACCGGTTAATCGACGTGTGACAACACCGGTAATACCGGTATCACCGCGGGGGCGGGGCATTCCCTCTTTTCCTCGCTTTTAAATAGCTTGTAAAAGTGGTGTGCCCATTTTACTTTCACTTTAAAATAGCGGCAATTCGGAGTAAAGCAATTGTTCGTTTTTAGTTCGTTTGAATTTTCCCTCTTTTCCTCGCTTTCCTTCGCTTTTAAATAACTTAAAAGCGCCACGCGCAATTTACTTTCACTTTTGAATTAGCGGCAGTTCGGCATCAATTGCTTGAATGCAACAACAAAATACACGTTCAGTTTTTAATTGTAGTGTCTGTTCTTTTACTGAACTAAATGATTTTTATTACTATAAAAAATCAAAACGACGGTGGGGGTCGGTGACGCGGTGGGCAAGTGATGTAACCGGTGTTGTGGCTTAACACCGGTATCACCGTCAACACCATCTATCGCGGCAAGCCTAATGTACATACCACTCCATTAACAGACAGCAGCTGATCTCCTCTCTTCAGGACGCCGTGCCGATCGGCGATGCCTCCAGGAATGATGCGAGAGATGTAGATGGGTGAGTTTTGTTCCTTCCCACCCATGATGTTGAACCCCAGTCCTTCCTCTGTTTTAGGGAGCTCTACCACACGTGGATGAGAATGACCCTCACTGGCTGCAAATGCAGCCACTGTAGCCTAGGAATAGAGTGAAGATGGTCATAAATCAAACACTTATGGCATAAACAATTTATTAGTCTTGTGCAAAGGCAATAAGTGTGCATGTACATACATTTTTTTGTTTAATCAATTCAATACTATTTTTTTTTTATCAAGGATACATTAAATTGATCAAAGGTATCAGTAAAGACATTTATAGATGAAAAATTCTATTTAAAACAAATGCTGTTCTTTTAAACTTTCCATTAATCAAAAAATCCAGAAAAAAACTATCATGGTTTCCCCCCAAAATAGGCAGTACAACTGTTATCAACAGAAATATTTCTTGAGCACCAAATCCTATTAGAATGAGGATCATGAGTAATGCTGCTGAAAATTCAGATTTGCAATCACAGAAATAAATTACATTTTAAAATATATGAATGAAAAAGTTATTTATTAGTTATTGAGTTATTTATAAAGTTATATATAAATAAATAAAGGTATATTATATAAATTATATTAAATTATATAAATGATATGTATTCATATAAAGACCTATTTTATAAATAAATATAATAAAAAAAATTTTGTTTATTTATATATAAATATTAAAATATATGAAAAAAAAGTGTGAATGGCCACAAATAAGAAAAAAAAAAATTGTTTATTTATATATAAATATTAAAATATATGAAAAAAAAGTGTGAATGGCCACAAATAAGATGCTCATATATTTTTAGGCCATCAGTCTGGGGTTAAAGAAGGCATTACAACCAAGCCAATCAGATAATAAGATTAACTTTCTGACAATGCTCGTGCTAAAAATAGTTAGCAGAATACTGTTAAGCCCTGTTCACACAAAGAACGATAACTATAAAGATAACTATATTAGCGCCCACACCAGTGGACGATATCGTCAGTTTATTCTAAGCGCACACGCGTCTGCCGCTTTAAATTCTCCAGCTCGAGATAGCAGGATGGATTCTGATTGGGTGTCAATGATTTTATCGTTCATCAGCTGGAAAAAAAATCATTCTGGAAGTGATTCCAGCGATATAGATTGTCTGTGTCTTTATCGTTATAGTTGTGGTGTGAACTCTGCTATTCTTTAATATTGAGAACGATTTTTAGAACTATATCTTTATCGTTATCTTTATAGTTATCTTCCTTTGTGTGAACGGGTTTAGTTACAGAAAAAAAATCTATTCAATTAGCAGATACACAGGAACTTACCTTTGCTGTTGCATTCGCCCTCACCTCTGGGCTGCTATTTATGTCCACTGTCTCATACACATGCTCATATACCTGAAAATGACAAAGAACACTGCATGAATTACACAAACACACAAATACAGTACAACCTCTACAGCCTTAAAGGGTCATGTAACCCCTGTTTCAGCACTAGTTAGTTCTCACCACAGTTTTGAAAAATGCTACAAAAGTGCACAACACAGACAACTTCAGTTTCAGTTTCACTTCGCTCCCACTGAGTTAAAAACACAAATAAATGCACAGCCATTTGCATTTGCACTCTGCATCGAAGTGAACTCACTAAGTGAATGAATCGCGTTTGTGCCAAACTCTAACAAAGCAAAAAAACAACACTATCCTTCGATCCATGAACGTTTCTCTTAGTTAATATACGCAATCTCACAGTCTGAAGTGTCTGTCACACATGCTGTTGTGAATAAGTGAAGCTTATTAATTATGAGACACCGACGCGCCATCAAAGTATTATAGTCCTTTGCCACATCACAAACCATGACCTCAACACGATGATTTTAAACCCGAAAGATGAAAGTAGTGCAAAAAAGCTCAATATTAACCAGTTTTCTCCAAAGAACGATAACTATAAAGATAACTATATTAGCGCCCACACCAGTGGACGATATCGTCAGTTTATTCTAAGCGCACACGCGTCTGCCGCTTTAAATTCTCCAGCTCGAGATAGCAGGATGGATTCTGATTGGGTGTCAATGATTTTATCGTTCATCAGCTGGAAAAAAAATCATTCTGGAAGTGATTCCAGCGATATAGATTGTCTGTGTCTTTATCGTTATAGTTGTGGTGTGAACTCTGCTATTCTTTAATATTGAGAACGATTTTTAGAACTATATCTTTATCGTTATCTTTATAGTTATCTTCCTTTGTGTGAACGGGTTTAGTTACAGAAAAAAAATCTATTCAATTAGCAGATACACAGGAACTTACCTTTGCTGTTGCATTCGCCCTCACCTCTGGGCTGCTATTTATGTCCACTGTCTCATACACATGCTCATATACCTGAAAATGACAAAGAACACTGCATGAATTACACAAACACACAAATACAGTACAACCTCTACAGCCTTAAAGGGTCATGTAACCCCTGTTTCAGCACTAGTTAGTTCTCACCACAGTTTTGAAAAATGCTACAAAAGTGCACAACACAGACAACTTCAGTTTCAGTTTCACTTCGCTCCCACTGAGTTAAAAACACAAATAAATGCACAGCCATTTGCATTTGCACTCTGCATCGAAGTGAACTCACTAAGTGAATGAATCGCGTTTGTGCCAAACTCTAACAAAGCAAAAAAACAACACTATCCTTCGATCCATGAACGTTTCTCTTAGTTAATATACGCAATCTCACAGTCTGAAGTGTCTGTCACACATGCTGTTGTGAATAAGTGAAGCTTATTAATTATGAGACACCGACGCGCCATCAAAGTATTATAGTCCTTTGCCACATCACAAACCATGACCTCAACACGATGATTTTAAACCCGAAAGATGAAAGTAGTGCAAAAAAGCTCAATATTAACCAGTTTTCTCCAATAATAAAAATTAACAGGTGCCAACATTGTCTTCTATGATGTGCAAGAAAAACACCTCTGCTAAAATCTTAGAGAAAGTAGTTTGGTGTTTCATGACCCTTTAAACTGCCAGGTAAACAAAAACAGATGTACAATTTAAACCAGATTTGCAGAACCTGAGGCAGTTTCCCAGATCCATCTCAGTTTAGTCACAACTAAATTACTTGTGAATCTTAATTCACCCTTAAAAAGCTGTTTAAATTCATCTGGATCAGATCTTCAGTGAATAGCCACCAGAAAAACAGCAAGTGTGTCTTAAACCAGCTGTAATTGATGAGTGGAATGCCATGCCATTAAGAGAATACAATATCAAATCAATCTCTTTACATGGCTTGCTCTTGATGCTTCGGTAAATGCTAAACCGCTGTTTCATCTTCCATTTAGGGCCGTTGTTATATGTCCACCACACTGCCTCAGCATTCAACTCCAAGTCATGCGTGTTTATCTGAGAATCAAGCATGCATTCAGAGGTTCAGTGCAAAGCTAAATCTTTAAGATGCAAAGCTGTTGAGTTACCAATCAACTATTTTATGCATCCATCACAAAAGGTACAGCACTTAAGTCAAGCAACAGCCTAAACAAGCATTTCCAGAGAAATCATGGGTGGCCTTGGAGTCACAAAACACACAAAATCTAGACCGTTTCGTCCATCCAGAGGCCAGGTGTAATAAGGCTGCATAGGCACAGAAATAAGTGAAGGGCCGGAGGTTTCAGTAAACTAATGATGCATTTACAAGTCTCACACTCAACAGTGAGGAGAAAAAAATAACAGTACAGTTTTTTTTTTAAAGCAACCTAAAATACTAATATAATTTACAATGTTTTTTATTAGTAGTAAATAATTTTTATCAGTAAATCAGCAATTTAATAATATTTTTTTATCCAAATTTGACTGATATACACTGTAATTAATACTTGTTTTAGCAAAGATGCACAAATAAATGCAATCCTTTTAAGCTTTTTATTTATCAAAAACAAAACAAACAAAATAACAGTTTTCACAAAAATAACTGTTTTCAACATTAATACATGGCTACAAATAAATAAACAGTGACAAGACAATATTATTTTGTGTTGTAACTTAAAAAAAGAAACATCTCTCTCTTAGATTGTTGCTGAAAACTGAAAATACAGTTTATGACAGACCAAATCATTTCAGATCAGTGCTTAGATTTATAGACAATATCATAACGTATCAGGGCTCGCAAAATTTCAAAATCCGTGGTAGCCCTTCGGGCAGGCATTCTTCAGATTTTGGTAGCCCAAAAATGAATTTAACTAGCCCGAATAAAAGATATTGTATTTTTTCTTCAAATAACAAGTCAAGAAAGTAGGGGTGCAACAGATCACAAATTTCACGGTTCGGATTATATTACATTATCATATAACATTTTGAGTCACAGATCGGATCATTTTTCAGATGAGCAAAAAAAATATGGTTCTTTATTATTTAAGTAACACTTATTATTTAAAGAACAATTTACTACTTCGATACCACAGCAAAAACTAGTAGCATATAGGGATGTAATGATTCACTCAACTCACTATGTGATATGATTCACGATACTGATTTCACAATACAATTTCTTTAACAAAATGAGATTTAAGACAGATTTAAAAAAGGTGTCCTTTTGTTATTTCTCAGACCAAAAGGCTGCACATTATTTTGTGAAACTGAAAAGGTCAAACAATATACTAACTTGAAATTTTAAAACAAATCCCAAATCAAATAAATAAATACAAATAGAGGAAATTTCTCCATGCAAGAATGAGACGCAAATGTCACTCTCTGACAGCAGGTGGCGCTTAAACAGCAGGTATTTATAGGCTGCTGCCCATTTAAGACCGAATGCACAGATCCAATATAATGATGCACGTGCGATTTCTTTCTCCACTGTTTAACATTCTAAAAGCTCTTTATTTCAAAGATACTACAAGCTAGTCAGAGTATTCAGTAGGTTTAATGTATTATAAGTTGCTTCAGAATCTCGTACCGGCAGGGATTGTAGGGGTAGAAACACGTGTAAATGATAAACTATGATCCGTTTCACCCCTACAAGCGAGTGAACAACGCGAATCAAGTAAGGGATTTTTATATCGCTGTTCAAGATAGCCCGTAGGGCAGGGCAGTAGTGTTGGGTCATTCTTGAACGATTCGTTCATTTTGAACGAATTATACAAATAAAATAAATTTCTCCATGCAAGTAAACTAAGGTTTTGCCTGTGTATTTTAATCACGATCCAAACAAAAATGCTGTATACATGTTATTTAGATTGTAAAATTTTGAAATTTGAAACAAAAACAAAATGGTCTGACTTTAGCTTTGTGATGCATAAAAAATCTGAGCGAAACAAAAACAGCAGACGGGCTGAATGAGACGCAAATGTCACTCTCTGACAGCAGGTGGCGCTTAAACAGCGGGTATTTATAGGCTGCTGCTCCTTTAAGACCGAATGCACGGATCCAATATAATAATGCACGTGCGATTTTTTTCTCCACTGTTTACGTTCATTTAAGACATGAAAATACTTGCCGAGATAGTTATTTTGAGATAATTTTGCATGTATGTGTCCGTTCAAGTGAAAGAGGAATCAATTCTGTTTGTGCTCTGCCTGAAATGACGCTCTATGTGCGCGCGAGCACCGAACTGAATTCTTCATGCGCATGAATGGTTTAAAACGCTTGAATGTTTAAATTGGTAAGACTTAGAAACACATGTAAATGACAAACTATGATCCGTTTCACCCCTACAAGCGAGTGAACAACGCGAATCAAGGAAGGGATTTTATATCACTATTCAAGATAGCCCGTCGGGCAGGGCAGTGATACATTTTGGTAGCCCGACTGGAAAACACAATAGCCCCGGGACGTCGGGCTAGCAATTTTGCGAGCCCTGA